AAGATTCCCAGGTGATTCTAATGTGCAGCCAAGGTTGAGAACTGCTGATCTACTGGGAAGGAGGGAGGAATGGAGGCGATGTTAAGGCTGCCCTCACCCTGCTCGTACTGCTTCTTCTTTTTCTCTTTTTTTATTTTATTGATTTTTTTACAGAGAGGAAGGGAGAGGGATAGAGAGTTAGAAACATCGATGAGAGAGAAACATCCATCAGCTGCCTCCTACACAACCCCTACTGGGGATGTGCCCACAACCAAGGTACATGCCCTTGACCGGAATCGAACCTGGGACCTTTCAGTCCGCAGGCCGACGCTCTATCCACTGAGCCAAACCGGTTAGGGCGCTCGTACTGCTTCTTCAGGCGCTCTGGAGGTCAGGGTTTGAATGACCTGGCCCCTTCCCAGGGAAAGGAGGGTCAGCCAAGACCGTGATTGCCATAACCTGGCCATTCCACCTGGAAAATATCCCTGGAGCCCCACCCCTCTCTCCATTTCCATTGCCCTGATCCTGTGGAGGCCGCCATCTCAGTGGCCTCCCAAATGGTCACCCAGCCGCTACCCTTCCCTGACCAAACCATTGTCCTGCTTAAACCCTTTTGTGACTCCCCATTGCCTCCTGGCCGCAGTCACTTCTCCAGCCTCCTCCCTCTCCCCTGTCATTTCGTGATCCAGCCAGACTCGACTGGTTCTCTGTGCACTCTTGCTGTGTCCATGCTGTTCCCTGTGCCTGGAGCACCCTACATGCTGAATCCTATGAGCTGTTGAGGCCTTTGCTCCCTGTAGCCTTGTCCCAGAAGGCCCCTGGCTGTCCTCCACTGGGTTAGGTGTTCCTTTATGCTCTCAGGGGCTCAGGTACTGCTCCTGGGGGAATTAACTTTTTATTTTATTTTACTTGTGTTAAATAAATACATAAAAGAGTGTTTACCATCTTAACCATTCTCAAGGGTACCATTTAGTAGGGTTAAGTACGTTCACATTGTTATGCAACAGATCTCCAGAACCTTTCCATTTTGCAAAATTGAAACTCTATTCCCACGAACCACTCTCCACTTCCCCTCCCCCAGCCTCTGTGCATTGTTTACTTGTCTTTACCCCTCCCCCTTTAGACTGTGAGCTCCTGGAGGGTGGACAGTCTTGTTTACATCTCCAGCACATAGCCAGGCACCAGGCCCATATATGAATTTATTAATTCAACAAACCTGTATGGCCCCAGGTCCTAGACCAGCCGTGGGCAAACTACGGCCCGCGGGCCGGATCCGGCCCGTTTGAAATGAATAAAACTAAAAAAAAAAAAAAAAGACCGTACCCTTTTATGTAATGATGTTTACTTTGAATTTATATTAGTTCACACAAACACTCCATCCATGCTTTTGTTCCGGCCCTCCGGTCCAGTTTAAGAACCCATTGTGGCCCTGGAGTCAAAAAGTTTGCCCACCCCTGGTCTAGACATTGGAGAGCAACCAGGGAATAAAAATTCGTCCTGGTGGATTTTACGTTCTAGCTGGGGAGACAGACAAAATGAAATGCAGACCGTGTTAGAAGGTAATACATGCTCTGTGGAAAGGACAGTAGGAAGAGAAGATTGAAGGTGCAGGGGGTGGCAGTTTTAATTTTGAACAGAAGGAAGGAGACATTCTCACTAAGGGGCTGGCAGCTGACATTTGCTGTTCGTCAGCAGGGAGCCCTGTGTCTCTGGGGAAGAAAACAGCACTCCTGCTAAGGGAATGCACAGTGCAAAGTCCCTGAGGCAGGAGCATGCCTGGTGTCTCCTACGTGGGAAAGTGCAAGGACGTCAGTGTGGCTGGAGTGAGATGAGCCAAGAGGAGGGATGCGTTCAGAAAGGGAAAGCCAAGGTGTGAGCGGAGGCAGAGCTTGCAGGCTCCTGAAGCCCTGTGTGAGTGACGGGGGGAAGGGCACACAATAAGAACAGGACCACAGCGGTTTAATGATTATTCACTTTACTGACTACCGATAAGAGGTTATCTTACACACCCTGGGAAACTGGAGGATGTGGTGCAAGAAGGAAAAACAGAGCTGTAAAAAGATAAGCGACACCTTGGGGCTGGGAGAGTCCATTGCTCAGAAAAGAAAATACATTTTGAGAATAAAGGACAGGAGACACTTTGATTTGGTTGCTGTTCCTAGACTCTGACCCTGCTCAGGGAGTTTGCCTCAGGAATGCTGCCTATTCTTGGGTCCTGGCTGACGGGCTGGGTTTTAACACCATTGTAAGTTAAGTACCTTGTTATCAGACTTCAAGATTCTGGAAGGAGACACAGGGACCACAGACCCTGCAGTCATCCCCCCTCGCCTCCCCCCTTGCATGCAGCCTTTCTTCCGTGTCTATCTATATAATATAATGCATGCACCGGGCCTCTAGTATATAAAAGCTTAAGCGATCTTTATGACGAAACGACCCCAATGACTGGTCGCGATGACCGCACTGACCACCAGGGGGCGGCTGCTCAATGCAGAAGCTGCCCCCAGCCAGCAGGTCCTGATAGCCTGATCAGGGCTGGGCCCTGGGCTGGGACAGGGAACGGGGGTGGGGGGGTGGGGGAGTGGGTGGCCATGGACGTGGGTGGTGAGGGAAGGAGGAGGTGGGGAGGTGGGGAACCTGATCGGTCCTGATCACTGACCAGGCCTAGAGACCCCACCCATACACGAATTTTGTGCACTGGGCTTCTAGTCCCTTATATAGTAGGAGGTGTTCCAGCAGATTTTTCATGGATGGCCTGCTGCTCTCCAATACTGTCCACATTTTTGGAATAAATGCTCATGTATGATTCAACCCTGTCTCTGCTTAATTGGCTCAAGGAGTGACAGGCAGCCTGGACCCATTGGTAGTTTGGTTTCATGAGGGGCCTTTGGAGGTTTTGGGCAGAGGAGTGACATCACCTGACTTTGGTTTCGACAGGATCACCCTGGCTGCTGTGCTGGGAATACACTATGGAGGTGGGTGATGAATAGTGGAGGCCCCCTTTAATACGAGGGAGGGAGGCCCCCCTCGTTGCCTAACTGTGCTGAATCTGGTCAGCTGACAGCCTCCAGCTGTTAACACTTTCAGGTCTGCTTCAGCTGTCCAGGTGGCCAATCTCTGCTTGGGGTGGCCCCAGGCGATGAGTGAGCCAACCCCTGCCACCCAATGCGGGGTCCTCTAACAGACAATCTTTGTCTCCAGATATAGAGCTCCCTGCCACAGGTCTTGTTGCTCAGTCTACTTCCTCCCCTTTTCATTTACGGGTATTACTCCCCAGAACACCATTTGCACTCTTTTTAAAAAAAATATACTTTATTATTATTACTAGAGGCCCAGTGCACAAAATTCGTGCACTGGAGGGGGGGGGTTGTCCCTCAGCCCAGCCTGCACCCTCTCCAACCTGGGACCCCTCAGACATCCCTCTCACAATCCGGGACTGCTGGCTCCCAACTGCTCGCCTGCCTGCCTGATTGCCCCTAACCACTCCCCTGCCAGCCTGATCAATGCCTAACTGCTCCCCTGCCGGCCCGATTGCCCCCAACTGCCCTCCCCTGCTGGCCCAGTCACCCCTAACTGCCCTCCCCTGACGGCCATCTTGTGATGACATGGGGTGGCCATCTTGTGATGACATGGGCATGGCCATCTTGTGACGATATGGGGGCGGCCATCTTGTGCAAGAGTGTGATGGTCAATTTGCCTATTACCTCTTTATTATATAGGCTTATGATTTTTTAGTTCTTTTATTTTTATTTATTTATTTTTTTAATTGTCTAAAGTTTTACATATGACCCTTTGCACTCTTAACTCTTCCTCAGTGTCTGCTTTCCAGGTTCAGGGGCCTGCAGGAGGGAGACTGTTGCTGTAATCCAGGTGAGAGCTGATGAGGAGGTCTTAGTGAGCTCAGGCTGCTGTAACAGAATAGTACAGACCGGGGGGCTTAAATTAGAGAAATAGGTTGCTCACCTATTTCTGGGGGCTGGAGTGAGACCAGGGAACCTGCATGGTTGGGTTCTTGGAGACTGCCCTCCTCCTGGTTTACACAGGGCTGTCTTCTCAACCTGTCCTCATCCTTCTCTTGTCTCTTCTTTTTTAAAAATATTTTTTTATTGATTTCAGAGAGGAAGGGAAAGGGAGAGAGAGAGAGAAACATCAATGATGAGAGAGAATCATTGATGGGCTGCCTCCTGCACACCCCCCACTGGGGATTGAGCCCACAACCTAAGCATATGCCCTTGAACGGAATTGAACCTGGGACCCTTCAGTCCCCAGGCTAACACTCTATCCACTGAGCCAAACCAGCTAGGGCTAGTCTCTTCTTATAAGGGCACTAATCCCATTCGTGAGAGCTCCACCCTTGTGACCTAGTCACCTCCCAGAGGCACAACCTCCTAATACCATCACATTGGGGGTCAAGATTTCAAAATAGGAATTTTGGGGGAATGCAGACATTCAGTCCATAATGGGACTTGGACCAGGGTGATGAATACAAAATAATCTATTTACCTAGGGCTGCAGGGTGGCTGTTACATCTTTCAGTAGATGTAGACTTGAAGGCTGTGTATATGAAATTGAAATCTATAAGATGCACAATTGAAGGAAGCTCATGCAATTGAGGGAGGAGGAAATAGAGATGTGTACCCTGAGCAGAGAAAGCCAAGGGGACATGAGGGCTATCTTCTGATGACAGTGATGTGCACTGGGGGACTCTGGGTGCTGAACATTAGCCCAACACATACTGGATGAGAACAGTAAGCTGTGATGCTCAAAATAGCTCCCAGGCCCAAGGCAGGATGTCCAGGACTGGAATGTCCCTCATCCATGGTCCTGGCCTGCACCCTGGAGAAGCAGGGTCAGGCTGGAAGCTCAGTCCATTCTGGAATAGCCAATGATGTGCCCTGATTGCTCTGATCTCTAAGCCATCCTTGGCCAGGCAACCAGAATGTCCTGGAAGATGCTGGAATGCATGGTGGCAGATAGGTAGAGATCCCTTCTCCCTAAGACCTTTGCAACCATCCAATCTAAGCTGGGGCTGAGGTACCACGTGGCCTGGGGAGCAGGCAGAGACTTTCCTGAGCATGGTTGCACTCGGATAGTCACTGGCTATGTTGTTAGCTCTGTACTAATGCTTTACCTGCAGTGTCTCCTTTTACCTCTACAACAATCCTAGGTATGTCCTGAGTGCTGGGATGAGTATGTTCCCTTTGCCCCTCTGATCTACTCTTCCCCCTTCTCCACCCTGCCTTGTGCCTTAGGAGGCTGACTGCCTCCTGGATCTCTGGCTTCTGGTTGGGTTGGGTCAGTGGGAGCCACCAGCAGGTGAGCAGGAGATGGGAGAGTGAAGTTGGGGAATTTATTTGGTTGCTGTGGTTGGATGGAGCACCTGTGTAGTAACCCTGTCCATTGCTACTCTGGAACTAGCCCCAGGATACTGAAGTTACCCCAGGATTCGTGGGTTTCCTTAATCATGCCCACACCTTTTAAAACAGCCCCTCAGGGAAACTCTTTGACATTATTTGGTTTGACTGTGTCATCTGTTTCCTGCCAGGACCCTGATTGATACGGTTCCCATTGTATTGGTGACAAGACAGAGATTCTGAAAGCTTGCCAAGGTGTAGCACGGTGAAGCTGTGATCCGGAAGTGGTTAAGCTATGATTCACACCTGGGGGGTGGATATCAGCCCTGCCCAGGGACCTTAAACTTGGCTGGCTTATCCATCTCACTAATGGCCACACTTGAGAGCAAAGATGAATCACAGCCTGTTGTGTCTGCACGATGGTCTGACCTCTCCCCGCCTGCATGGGCTCTGGGCTGCCTCCTGGATTTCTGGCTCCTGGCCTCGGCTTTAATAGTCACTAAATGTTCCTCTAGGTCCGTGGTCGGCAAACTGCGGCTCGCGAGCCACATGCGGCTCTTTGGCTCCTTGAGTGTGGCTCTTCCTAAGCCTTAGGAGTACCCTAATTAAGTTAATAACAATGTACCTACCTATATAGTTTAAGTTTAAAAAATTTGGCTCTCAAAAGAAATTTCAATCGTTGTACTGTTGATATTTGGCTCTGTTGACTAATGAGTTTGCCGACCACTGGTCTAGATCAGTATAGCCTTTGTTCCTCTTCTGCTTCCCATCCTGGTCGGGCCTTGATGTTGGTGTCCCCTAAGTTTCAGGTCCTCACACGGTGCTGGGAGAGGGGCTGAGCCACCCAGAGGGCTGTTAATGCAGAAGAGTTTGTTTTTGACTCCCCCAGGCTCTGAGCTCCTTGGGTTCAGCTCCTACCCCCTCTGCAGCCCCAGCATCCTGCCAGGGGCTTGGTGTGGAAAAAATGCTCAGGAAAATGAAAAGAGCTGAATAACGCTCGGGTGAGGCAGGGAACACATTCCTGTAGAGGAGACAACTGGCCTGCCGGCAGCATATATAAGAAGTGAGAGTATGACTAACAGGGATTTTGTGTACACAGGGTGGGGATGTGGTTGTGGATGGCAGTGCCTGGGTTACAGAGGAGAGACTGTGATTTGTCTGTAATGAGAAGGCAGTGATTGTGTGTGCTCAGGACAGTCTCCCTATGAAATCACTAGAACGGCTGTAATGGGAGCATAGCGCCCTCTTGTGGCCACATCTCCAATCACAGTAGGTTCCACCCAGCTCTCACGGGTCAATCCCAGCCCCAGCCTAACTTCAGCCCACACCCTAGCTGTACCCCCCTCCCCCTTCCCCCGCCCCAGGCCATGGAGCTCTCTCTCCTTCCCAGGGCGACCTTTCCTGACCTCAGGGTCTTGTGGGTGGGAGTGTAGAAGAACAGAGGATGGAGCCAACCTGTATAAAACCCAGCCTTTATTGATTTCAAGGAAACTGCCGTGGGGATGCTCCTATTAGGACATCCACCCCGAGCCCCACGAAGCAGGGTCTGAAAGGCTGGCACCAGACTGAGCACATCTGCAGGGAGGAAGATGGGAGCGAAGCTTCCTGAGGCTGGGAGAGTGGAGGCTGCGGAGGGGGACCTGCCATGAGAGCAGTGGGACTCAGAGGATCCCCGGGTGTCACCAGGAGAGGTTGGTGTCCCCAGAGCCTCCTCCTCCTCTTCCCAAGAATTCTCAGGCCTCCAGACCTCCCTCTGCTGGGGGAATTCTTCCTCTGCACCGCAGGGACCGAGGCGCTTCTCCAAAGGGAAGGAACATTCTTTCTGGTCTGGTGCATCCAACCCAGGGCAAGCATGCCTCTTCTTGTAGCCTCCAGGCCTCTTTGCCTGCCCTCTCTCCACTTGGAAGCACTTCTCACCTCTCTTAAACTTTACTTCCTCAGGAAAGTCTCGCTTGATCGCTCCCCCCTGGGTTGGGTAGAAGCCCTGTATGAGCGCCCTAAGCATCCCCTTGCGCAGTAGTTAATTTGCTCGTTTCAATGTTGGTTTCCCCCAAGGGATGGCACTGGGCCTGTGGTGTGACCTACACCCAAGTATTCAGCACAGTGCCCAGCACTCAAAAAGTATCTGCCCCAAATGAAATTGGATAGCTCGGCGAATTCAAAGTGGGGGCACCCAGCACCTGCAGGACCCCTCCACCGGCGCGATACCTCCCCACCTGTCCCCGTTGGCAGACCAGGCATCACCCCCCGGCCCGTGGTCAGATGGGGGTCAGAGCGGGTGCTGAAGCATGCGGCTTGTCACTGTGGGTGTCCAGGGCGAACTCCCCCTCCACCAGCTTATGGTGGCAGCGGCAGGTGGAGGCCCGGCTGGCTGAGGACTTGCGGTTGCGGCTGCCAGGGGGCCTCTGATTGCGTATGCCTTTTATGACCCTGTGGAAGATGAGGTAGCAGATCTCGCTGATGGTGAGCACGATGCAGACGGCAGAGGCGCCCACCATGAAGTAGGTGAAGACCTTCTTCTCCGTGGGCCGGGCGATGTAGCAGTCCACGGTGTTGGGGCAGGGCGCCACATTGGAGCACTGCACAAGGCGCGGCATGCTGAAGCCGTACCAGAGGGTGTGCAGCACGTAGAGGAAGACGAATTCGATGATGAGCTTGAAGATGAGGCTCAGCAGGTAGGTCCACCACAGGCCGCCGTGCTTCTTGCCCGCATTGTCGTACAGCTTGGTGCACTGGTCACCGTGCTTCAGCCGGTGCCGCCGCTCCCGCTCCTCCCGGTAGGCCACGTGCAGGATGACCAGCAGCGAGGGGCAGGTGACGAAGATGAGCTGCAGGGCCCAGAGACGGATGTTGGAGATGGGGAAGTAGTTGTCATAGCAGACGTTGGTGCAGCCTGGCTGCTTGGTGTTGCAGTCAAAGTCCTTCTGCTCATCCCCCCACACCCGCTCTGCAGCCACCACGTACACCAGCACCCGGAAGACGAACACCACCGACAGCCAGATGCGCCCGAATGCTGTGGAGTACTTGTTCACGCCACTCAGTAGGGACTGGAGCGTCTTCCAGTCCATGGTGCCTGGTAGGGGCGCCGGGGGCCGTGCACACCTGATGGAATAATAGGAAAGACCATATGTTAATGAATGGGTGACATTTACTGAGCTTTTACTATGTTCTGAGCTCTATGTGGATGGACTCATTTGATCATGGTGAAGACCTTATGACAGTGGTTCTCAACCTTCCTAATGCCGCGACCCTTTAATACAGTTCCTCATGTTGTGGTGACCCCCAATTTCATTGTTACAAATTGAACATAATTAAAGCATAGTGATTAATCACAAAAACAATATGTAATTATATATGTGTTTTCTGATGGTCTTAGGCGACCCCTGTGAAAGGGTCGTTCGACCCCCAAAGGGGTCGCGACCCACAGGTTGAGAACCGCTGCCTTATGAGATCAGGGATGTTATGTTGCCTAAGCTACAGGTAATAGGCAGAGAGGGTAAGTAACCTGCCCAGAGTCACAGAGCTAGTATACCAGGAGGAATAACCATTCCTATTTATCAAGCATTTAATCTGAGCCAAGCAGAGCTAAACACTCTATGTGCAGGATTTCATTTAATCCTTGTAACAACCCCACGAGGTAGATGCTCTTGGGTTCCTCATTTACCCTTACAAAGATAAGGGCTGCAGAGTACTTAGTACATAGTAAGTGCTCAATAAATGCTGGCCACTCATGAAATCTAGAGAGGTCCAGTCACTCATTTAAAACTAGAGTTGGATTCAAGGCTGGACTGTGGGTGCCAGGGCTGTGCTGTCCATCACCTTCTCTCCCCTTCTCTGCTGGATGCCTGCCCAGACCAGGTTCTTACACCTTACCTCGTTGATGCCTCGCTACCATCCTGTGAGGTCGGGGCTGAATCTTATTCTACAGAGAGGAAACCGAGGCTGGGAGAGGGGAGCTAACTCCCCCAGGTCTCACAGCCGGTGGGTGGTAAAGCTGGGAGACCAGTTCATGTTGGGGTGTGTGTGAAGAGGGGTACTGTCGAGCTCTGGGGAATAGGAGAGCCAGGGACTATCTAGCTAGAACTCCCTGCTCCCTGTGCCAGGCCCTGGGAAAGCCCCAGCTACCCAGCCATGCTGGGTGCGTGGAAACACGTTTCGTTTAGACCTCCTGATCACACTTTTTCCACTCAGTCCTGGAGTGACTCAGAGGGTGTGGAAGGGTGGGTCTGCCTAAGTACACCTAGTGGCTGTGCGTTGCCATGGGTGTGACTCCACGTGTGCATGGGTCTGCACACACGTATAAGTGCTCACGGAGCGGTGTATGTGACTCTGAGCAAGCATGATGCCTGTCGGCCCCCTGCACCCCCCGCCCTGCACAGCTGCTTCTCACTCCCTACTGCCACCACCCTGGTCCAAGCCACCATCAACTCTTGCTGGTATTATTGCCACAGCTTCCCTCTGGCCTCTCAGTGTCTGCTCCTGCACCCCTAGAGTCCATTAAATTGGGTCATGTCCCTCCCTTGTTTAACACACTCTACTAGCCTCTCATTACACTTAGAACTGCCCCAGATTCTACCTCCTCACCCTTCTCTCCTGCACTCTCACCCTGCCTGTCTGCTCCGGCCACTCTGGGGGCCTTGGGGGCTTTGGTATTTTTCCTGCTGCCTGGAATGCTCTTTCTCCAGAACCACGCATGGCTGGAGCCTTCCCATCAACCTTTCTCATCTCATGGTGCACATAAACTAATTACTAAAATTCTGCAGCCCATCTGACAAAAAAAAAGTATACTTTTTGATTTATTCACACGGGACAGCTATTGTTGTGTTGGCCGTTGTCATTTTTAAAATTTGACAATCTAAGGGAAAAGAGGTCAGTACCCCTGAGTAAAGAGTCAGCTATTGCATGTTTTAAAAATTCTTGCAGTGCGACTGGTATAGCTCAATGGTTGAGTACTGAGCCATGAACCAGGAGGTCAGGGTTCGATTCCCCATCAAGGCAAATGCCCCAGTTTCAGGATCCATCCCCAGTAGGGGGCGTGCAGGAGGCAGCCGATCAATGATTTTTTTTTCATCATCGATGTTTCTATCGCTCCCCCTCCCTTCTTCTCTGAAATAAAAAAAAAAAAATATTTAAAAATTCTTGCGGCACACCAGTGTGCCTGCCGCAACACACTGGTTGAAATTGCTGCCTAAGAGGCCTCCCTGGTAGCCCCAAGTCTGGGAGCCTATCCCCTTCCAGTCACTCTGCTCCCGTACCTTTATTTTTCTCTCTCTATTTTTTAAAAAAATATATTTTTGTTGATTTCAGAGAGGAAGGGAGAGGGAGAGAGACAGAAACACCAATGATGATAGAGAAGCACTGATCGGCTGTCTCCTGCTTGTCCCCCACTGGGGATCGAGCCTGCAACCCAGGCATATAACCTTGACCAGAATCGAACCCAGGACCCTTCAGTCCGCAGGATGACACTCTATCCACTGAGCCAAACCAGCTAGGATTCCTTTATTTTCTTTATAGCATTTAATCACTATTTGAAATTAAAGTGTTTTTTTTAAAGAATTATGAATTTATTAGTCATCTGAAAAACCAGATGGGCTGAGCCCCCAAATGGTCCAGCACCCAGGGACGGGGAGTCAGAGATTTTAAAGGACTCTAGGCGGGCTTTTTCTGGGCGGAAAATTCTCTGGGCAGGTCCTTTAAAGGTTTTATTTTTGTTAATCCTCACCTGAGGATATTTTTTCCATTGATATATATATATATATTTTTAGAGAGAGTGGGAGGGAGGGACAGGGGAGAGAGAGAGAGAAACATTGATGTGAGAGAGACACATTAATTGGTTGCCTCCGCCCTGACTGGGGATGGAACCCAAAACCCAGGTCTATGCCCTTGACTGGGAATCGAACCGGGGACTTTTAGGTCTGCAGGTTGACGCTCTAACCACTGAACCAAACTGGCCAGGGCGAAATGAAAGTATTTGTTTACCTATTTGTTTTCATTTATTGTCTGTTTCCCCCACTAGAATGCCAGCCCTGTCTTGCTTACTGCTTTATTTGTGTCTCGTGCTTGGCACAGTGTGGGGACTCAACGCATGTTGAATGAATAAACAAATGAATGCCTACAGAGGCAGCGTGGAGGGAGGGGCTGGGCGTTGCGGGCAGGAGCCCAGTAGGGCCTGAGGACTAGGTAGCCTGGGGGGAAAGCCTCCTTTCACTGGGAGAAGGCAGTTCCTTCTCAGCACCCGGGCTCTCTCGATGCCTCTTCTCTGAGAATCTCGGCCTGGACACCCTCTGCTCCCTCTGAGACCTGGCCTTTGGGGACGGGCAGTGGAATGTGCATGGGAAGTGGAGTCCCGTCTGCATTCAAGCCTCAATTGGCCACCTGCTTCCAAGAATTCCCTAACATCTTTCCAGCAGCGATTCTCAACCTGTGGGTCGCGACCCCTTTGGCGGTCGAACGACCCTTTCACAGGGGTCGCCTAAGACCATCCTGCGTATCAGATCTTTACATTATGATTCATAACAGTAGCAACATTACAGTTACGAAGTAGCAACGAAAATAATTTTATGGTTGGGTCACAACATGAGGAACTGTATTTAAAGGGCCAGAAGGTTGAGAACCACTGCAAGGGAAAGAAGTCCCACTTTCTGGAGCCCTGGTCGGAATCCAGAACCAGCTCCCCCCAGCCTGCCGCTCACCTGGTGCAAGTTCCAGAAGGCAGCCGCGTCTGCCAGCCCTGCGAGCACAGGGGCCCTGACACGTGCTCCACCGACCCTCCTCCCGGGGCAGCCACCCCGTGCAGCCTCCCTCCAGGGCTGCACCTCCGGACCCGTCCGCCCAGTCCCGCCAGACACACCCCGGGGAGCGACTCAACTGCAAAGAATTCCCCTCCAAGCCCAGGCTTGGGACTGGTGGAGCCGGTCTGGTTCCCCCACCGCCGCGGTCCCCCAATAACAGCTCCCGCCATCCGCTTTTTCCCCGCTCCTGGGCCGAGCAGCGCCCAGATTTTGTCCCTCTTTCCGCCCCCCCCAAAAAGAACTGCATTTGAGGGACAGGGGCACCCGTCCCTCGTAGTCGAAAGTCCGCGTAGAACTTGGCTTGCGCGGATTACCAAAGTCTAAAATCCTACACTTCCTCCCTCCAGGACCCTTCCCTGCACGTTCCCTTTCCATCCCAGGCAGTTTGGGAGCTTGCGGACCTAGAAGGGGGGCGTCTGGGAGCCTTCCGGCAGCTGGAGCCCCCACTCCCGCCCAGAATCGAGGGGGGAGAAGGCGGTGGAGAGGTCCCTCCAACATCACCCCGACTCCCCACGCCCGGGATCCGCAGCCGCGCGGGCCCCGCGGGATCAAGACGGAGCCCTTCGCCCGCCGGCGCCACGGAGCGCTCAGCGTCCCAGGGGGGCCCGCGCGCACCCAGCCCCCGCCCGCACTCGGCACTTACCCGCAGCGGCGCGGCCAGCGCGGGGCCGGGACCCCGCGTCCTCGAGGTCCGCAGCAGAGGCGGGGGCGCTGGGAACAGGGGCTCTGCGGCCGCGGCGAAGCTCACGCGGTGGCCGGCGCGCCCTGGGGGTGGTGAGGAGGAGGAAGGGTCGGGGGAGGAGCCCGGGACCCCGCCCCGCCGCCGAGGGTCCGGCTCTAGCCCCGACGCTGCGGCGCGTTCCCAGGGCAACCCTCGCTGGAGCGCAGGTGTCTGCCCGGTCCGAGCCTCGGTGCTTCATGTGTGAACAGGGGCCTCGGTGGCCATGGGCAGGGCTGTTGCAAAGGCTCCAATGAGATTAGGGGCGTGAAGCACTATAAACCGTCAAGTGCGTGGCCCGGGCACCGACTGCAATCACCACTCGCCCACGCGTGTTACCACTGGTACCGTGCCCGCGTCCGGCAGGTCAGGGTCCCCGCCCGCCCCGACCCGCGTGGGAGCACTCTTGGGGACCTGCCTTCCCGGCACGACGGGTCCTCGGCGGCCGTGCTGCCTCCTCGCTGTGTCCTCCAATGAAGCAGGTGCTCTTTGGAGAACCCGGGTGGGAGCGGGCGAAGCGAATCCTGTGCCTGGAGGTGAAACGGGGTGGGGGCAGGTCGTTGCCAGGAATTACTACGAGGGGCAGAGCCTGTGGGAGGAGGTGGGGTGGGTGCGTGCAGAGCCCCCCGCGGAGGGAGGTGGGCCTGCGGTGGGGCTGCGCTCTGGGGACTAGGACGCTTGGTCTCATTGACTAGTGGGCCCTGATTAGGAAACGAATGAGCGCCCCTGGCACCCCAGCCTTTCGAAGGTAACCCCAATGTTTCCGGTCTCCCCAGGAGTCCTGGGATCTTAGTCACATAGGGCTTCGGCCCTGCAGTTTCAACAGCAATGCTGTTGCTGACACCAGGGTGACTCATTTCCCCAGGAGCACCCATTGGTGTAATTAAAGGCGCCCCCTCCTTTATCCTCAAAAGTGCCCCCAAACTTGGGAAGATCAATGACACTGTCACCCTACTCATGGTGATAGAGAGCTAACAGGGTCCGGGGGTGGGGGGAGGGAGCTCTGAGACATCTTTGTGCCAGGCAATTCCCAAGGCTTCATTTCATCCTCACAGTGCGGGTGACGGTGGTGTGAGCCTTCTCACTTTTATGAATGAGAAAACTGAGGCACAGAGAGGATAGGTGACTTGCCCAGGGTTACACAGAACCAGTTCTGGGGGCCTCAGCCATGTGCCCACTCACTGGGTCCTGGCTTGCAAAGTCATTGCTGAGACTTAGCAGTGCTGGGGTGGTCGGGGTGGTTCTGTGCCTGAGCTGGTGTGGGGAGATGTGTGAGTATGATGGGGTCCATAACTCTGCCACCTGCTCCGACCACCTGTTGCTCTGCTGCATTTCAGAGCAAAACCAGATACCCGCCCAGTGTGGCTCAGTCTTTGAGCATCAACCCATGAACCAGGAGGTCATGGTTTGATTTCTGGTCAGGGCATATGCCCGGGATTGTGGGCCTGATCCCCCAGTAGGGGGCGTGCAAGAGGCAGCTGATGGATGATTTTCATCACTGATGTTTCTCTCTCTCCCTCTCCCTTCCTCTCTCTCTGAAATGAATAAAAACATATTTTAAAAAAGCAAAAATTAAAAAACTAAATACCCACTTCCTTACCTCCTAGTCACTCTTTAACCCATTTGAACAATGTTTCTGTTCCTATCATGTCACTAAAGACAACCCCATCAAAGTCACATGGACCTCCATGATGCTAAATCTAATAGCCACTTCTCTGTCCCCATCCTCCTGGACTTTCAGAAGCACCTGACACAGCTGACCACCCCTTCCTTCTCACACACTTTCTTCTTTTGCTCCGTTGACACCACGTTTCCCGTTTCCTTGTACATTAGAGGCCTCCCATCCCGGCCTCCAGAATGGGCATGTCCCAGGGCTCAGCCTCCTCTTTCCTGGGTGAGCTCCTCCAGTCCTGGGGCTCCCACTACCATCCATTTGCTGACGAACCCCATATTTCTAGCACGATTCCTATCTTCTCCCCAAACACCAGACTATGTGGCCAGGGCTGCTCCCTGACCACCAGGTTTCCAGTTACTTGTTTTCTGTCCTGAGATGAACTGCATCGTTATTACATAGATATATTAGTAGTACTCTTCATACATTTACCCCATGGAAGTATGCTATGCCCATGTGTTTTGTACTTTGCTGTTTGCATTTAACAAAATATAAGACATTGCCCTGACCAGTGTGGCTTAGTTGATTCGGCATCCTCCGGTGCACCAAAAGGTTGCCGGTTTGATTCCTATTCAGGGCATATGCCTGGGTTGTGGGCTTGATCCTGAGTAGGGGGTGTGCAAAAGGCAGCTGATCGATGTTTCACTCTCAAATCAATGTTTCTCTCTCTCTCTCTCTCTCTCTCTCTCTCTCTCTCTCTCTCTCAAAATCAATAAAAAAAGAAGACATTGTCCTCTCTCAGTGGCTATAGACCTAGCTCATTCTTTTTTTAAATAGCTGAATAGTATTCCATTTTCTCCTATCAGTAGATGTAGAGCTGCCTCTTAAAAAACAACCACCAGCGGAATAGTATATGTACCATAATCTATTTAATCAGTTCTCTATTCATGAAAATTAAGGCTGTTTCCAATCTTATATTTCTTTCTATTATAAACACATTATAAGAAATATCCTTGGACAAAGCATCATTAACAGATTTTTAAAAATTATATCTATAAGATATATTTCTAGAAGTGGAATTTTTGGGTTAAAGTTGTAGACCCATTTAAAATTTTGATTCAAACAAACAAAACCCTAAAAAAAAAAAAAAGACAAAAACACCCTGACATTTTGATAAATCCCCTCCACAGATGTATCAGTTTACGCTACCAGCAGAGATGAGAGGGCTTGTTTCCTCATGTCCTGCTCAATATAGAGCATTACCAAACTGAATGATCTTTGCCAGTGGTACCTATTACATTTTCCATTTGCATTTCTCTTCTTCTGAGTGACAGTGAACATCTTTTCATATACTTAGGAGCCACCTGTGTTTCTTTTTCTGTGAATTGTCCTTTGCCTTTGCCCAATTTTCAGTGGGATGATTGGCTTTTTTATTATTTATTTCTCAGGAGCTCTTTACATATTAAAGAAAGAAGCCCGCTGTCAATGGTACAAATAGAAAAGATTCCCCCCTCCCAGTTGGACACTTGCATTTTGACTTTGTGTAGAATTAAACTTTCTTTGGTAGTCCAATGTATCCATTTTATCTTTGATGGCCTCAGGCTTTGCTCATAACTAGAAATGCCTTCCCCACGCTGAGAATTGAAAAAAAAAATTCTCCCAGGTTTCTTCTAGCTAAAGTAGGGCTTTAATAATATAAATCAGATCATGCCATTCCCCTATTAAAACCTTGTGGTAACTTATCATTACTTCTATACTGACACCCACTCCCCTGGGACTAGCTTACAAAGCCCCAAATGAGCTCATCCTGCCTCACCTCCTGCCACACGGCCCCACGAGCACCAGTCTCCAGTCACACTGGCCTTGTTCCGTCCACCCTCTGGCCTTTGCGTTTGCTGTTCCCTTGGCCTGAACTGCTCTTCGCCAGGCAGTTCCTCCTCCTTATCGAGGTCTCACCTTCTGGTAGAGGTGGTCCCTGGTCTCCCCCTCGGAAGTTATCTCACCCACTTCCTCAGCAGTGACTCTTCGGGGCCTTGTCTGAAATGACCTCCTGGAGAGCAGGGAGCTGGCTGGTTAGGCTCCTGCTGCATCTCAGGGCCTGGAAGTAGCCGACACCCAGTTACTATTTGTAAAGTAAATGTTGGCTGCACATGAGGTTTTGTGCGAGAGCTGTTTGTACTTGAGATTGGGTACCTGTGTGTGAAAGGGGCAGCATGGGGAGTGTGTGCATGTTTGGTGTGTGTGACTGTGAATGTGTGTGACTGGAGGTGGCTGGTAGGGTTTTGTGAGGCTGTGGTTATGTGTGAGGTGGTGGCGGTGGTGGTGTCTCTGGGCGGTTGTTTTTTGTTTTCTCTGGTGACCAGAGGATTTCAGTGCCTAGGTCTGAACATCCTGACCCTGCCAGATGCTGTCTCCTCACTCCCAACATCAGGCAGTGACCCCAACAACTGGCCTTTGCCTATTCTGGAAGGAGCTGTCAGAGTCTCCATTCCAGAAAGAGGCTCTGAGGCCCTGCTGTCCCACATCGAAGTGCTGCTGCCTGAGCAGGGTAGTGTGTGGGAGGCCATGTAGGCCATCCCCCAGCCTCGGGGCAAGGCTGTGTTGTATACCTGGTCTTGGCAGCTTCCCAGCCACCCCCACTTCCCCGAGGGCCCACACCTGCTCTCTGAGGGTGGCGAATCCCAAGCCTGTCACTGTACCTCTTCTGGCCCAGGCTTGGCCCAGGCTGGTCTTGCTCTTTGGCCGCCCCCTGTGTTGGCAACTCTGCCCAGACTTCAGGCAGGGGCTTCCTGGGAAGGGGCAGGGCCGTCTCTTTCTGGCTGGGATTTTCCCTGTGTTTGTGTGTGTGCAGCAGAGAGGTGGGGCAGGTGGAACCCACTGGGAAACAGGCCAGGTGGAGCGATGGAGGCTGCCAGCCCTGTCCCAGCATGTCTGGGACCATAACTAGGGAGGAAGAGATGTCCCAGACCCAGGCTATAATGTTTTCCTTTCAAGATCACCCAGAGTTCCTTGCAACTTCTGCCTGCACAACGTTATCCTCAAATAAAGGAGGTAATACATGACTTTCTAAGTTGCTGCTAGGATTCAACCATTCTACATGTCTACTGGATCCCACCTTCTCAGCCACCCAGGACCTCACTCTACCTCCTCTCTTTCTCCTCCATCACCACCCTTTTGCTCTTCACTGGCTCTTTCCCATTACAATAACTATGCTGGTATTTCTCCATCTTAAGAACAAACAAATAAACCTTCCCTGACCCACCTCTTCCAGCATCTGCCTCATTTTTTTCCCATTTCTTTATAGCAAATCTTTTCAAAAGCGTTATCTTGCCTGGCTGGTGTGACTCAGTGCTTTGACTCATGAACTGAGAAATCATGGGTTTGATTCCTGGTCAGGGCATATGCCTGGGGTGTGGGCTCTATCCCCAGTAGGGGGCAAGCAGGGGACAGTCAATCGATGTTTCTTTCTCATTGATATTTCTATCTCTCTATCCCTCTTCTTTCCTCTCTTTAAAATTAGAAAAAGGCCCTGGCCGGTTTGGCTCAATGGACACAGCATTGGCCTGCGGACTGAAGAGTCCCAGGTTCCATTCCAGCCAAGGGCATGTACCTTGGTTGCGGGCACATTCCCAGGAGGGGGTGTGCAGGAGGCAGCTGATTGATGTTTCTCTCTCATTAATGTTTCTAACTCTCTATCCCTCTTTCTTCCTCTCTGTAAAAAACCAATAAAATATATTAAAAAAAATAAAATTAGAAAAAGTGTCTATAAATAATAAAAGTG